GGGGGGGGGGCTGTGAAGAAACAAGGGGGTCTGGGGGCTTCTCCATGGGAGGTGAGACCAAGGGCAGCAGGTGCTATTTAGAGAAGGGGACGGGAGCTTAGCCTGGGCTGGGGAGAAATGTGGAAAAGAGACCTGGTCTGATAAAGGGAGAGGGAGACGCTGCAGAAGAGAAAAAGAAGCGCAGATACTCGGAAAAGGAAACAGAGGCCAGGGAGACACCTGAAAAAAGAAAGCGTGAGGACTCATCGCATCTCTGGACTTTGCCTCAAAATGAAAGCAGATTTAATAGTTGCTGAAATGACAAGACTTTCATCTAACTCATGTATATATTATATGTTATGTTTATAGGAAAGTATAAATATATTCTAGATGATACGAAATTAATAATACACATAACAAATTATATACATTTATTTATATCTCGTTATTGCTTTATGGTAGACGGCTGCTTATATTCGTCCTAGAAATAGGGTTCAGTGATATCAGTCGGGCATTATTTTTACAGTCAAATATTGAGCAACCAACCAGATAGAATTTCTGGCAATTTTACCTGCAAGTTAAGCACTAAAAATAACCATATGGGCCTATCTAGCCTCTGGTTATTTTGGTCATATGGACATGACCTTTGTGAACATTATACATGTTCATAAGAGTGATTTTAATATTCTCTTTGATGAAAAAAGACCAGACATAATTTTTCATGAAAAACCACTATAACATCGTTAGGGAAATTTTTTCTGTAAATCGACCATAACCCTGGGACACTAACAATTTCACTTTTTTGTTACTTTCCATGTGTATATTTCTGCGTTTCTGCAGAGAGCATGCACCATTCTGTGTTTTCCTATATTTGTCAGCGTGCCAGAAACATTGACTATGTCTCTATGGTCTTTCTAATCAGTATTTTATTGGCTGCACTGTATACAGTTCAACTGTTGATTTACCATCGTTAATTAAAACAATACCCTGATCGTGAACTTTCAATTTTTATTACAAGAGGTAACTGCGTAATGAGCATGTTAATGCATGTATCGCTCGACTTATTTTAGGTACTTTCTTAGAATAGTTACCAGTAGAGTTATTGGATCAAAGGATTAGAAATGAGTTCATTTTAATAGGAAATTCTATAGATGGATACTTACCTTTTTATCTTTAAATCACAGCCAGAGTGTGTCCTTTTGCTGGAATCTTGGAGAACGGAGCTGTGCGCTATGTATCTTTTACGTATCCCAACACAATCACTTTTTCCTGTAACAGCGGGTAAGGACTTCCCGGGTGGCTGAGTGGCTAATGCGTGAAGCACATTTCTATGCCCTTAAGCTAAGCATCGAGGCTGCTCCGTGCTTCACTCCTAGCCTTGGGCTTGCTCAATCCAGATCATTGAGTACAAATGCATAATGGTGTTGGTAATGGTGTTGAGGGTGGGTACAGGGCAGAGCACGTGACAATCCCTGAAATGTATCTAATTTTTCTGCTCCTGATTAGTTACCTATCTGAGGAGGTGCATTGAAATTATTGAAACTGGATATTACCTTGTCCTTTTTGGGCCAGATCTTAGCTTGAGGATTAAAATATTTTAGGAATTGGATTTGGGCTTTAGCGATGAGGTGAACTTGATTGACTGGCCTGGTGGTCTCTGGAAGAAAATTCTGTGGAGAGGATTGGACATATGATGATGTGGGACATGGTCCTCTTGGACCTCAATGCAGCACAGCATTCCCAGGTGGAAAGCACTGTGGCTGGTAATATAGCTCCTCTTGACAAGAGCATGCTGGCTGTAATACAGGCGGGCAAAACTTTACTGAGGATCCTTGTTTGGGCTGGAGATTAAGAAATACTGTGTGTGAAAGAGAAATACAGGCCTTTCATCCGAAACACAAATTAACGGTGGGTCTGAAGACAAACGACATTGAAAAACTTGGCCTCAAGGACAGAAAGTTAACATATTCAATGAAAATAGACTGCATTGGTTTTTTGTTCGCTTTGAAATTATTTTTTATTTTCCAATGACAGTTGGCATGCAATATTATAATATTTCAGGTGTACAGCATAGTGATTAGACATTTATATAACCTAAGAAGTGATCACCCTGATATTAGACTGCACTGTTTTTATACATTTGTGTCACTAGACTCTCAGAAAATAGTAGAAATTACTCAGTTTAATTCATTTTGTGATCCTGAAAAAGAAATGGATTTTTGCTTCACATAAGCATCAGTTCATTTATCCAGCTGGTCAGAAATGAGGGATTTGGGCATTTGGCTGCTATACCCGCCAGCTATGGAAACCTCCCTCTCTCCAGCGATTCACCTGCAGTAGTAGGCTGGGAGACTTGAGCCTTAGATGTGTGTTAACTCTTCAGGAAAACCCCATTATGGGAACAAAGTGAATAGTGTTACTCTAAGGCAAGGCACAAGGGAGAAGACATTGAGATGTGATGCTCTCGATGGACTAAATTTTCCATTGCAGGTTTTATCTGAATGGAACTAAATCTGCTCAATGCACCGAGGAGGGAAAATGGAGTCCCGATCTTCCTGTCTGTGCCCGTGAGTCTGTGGGTCCCAGTTATGGGGAAGGTGACCAGTTGGTTTGCCTGGGACTATAAGTCTCAAGCCCCGGGAGCCCTTCAGTCTCAGCCCTGGGAGAGGCTCGGCCGCCCTTATGAGGAGCACGCGTTCCAATCCGTGGCTCTTGCGTAGGGCCTGAGCTTCTGCATTTCCAACAGGCCTCCAGGCGATGCTCATGCTGCTGGTCCATGGGTCACATGCTGAGACTCTAGATAATTCAAGTTCAGTCCCATTTTGGCCTGTGCTAACTTCTGTTACGTTAATATAACTTTCCCTGGACTTGCTAAAGCTTCACATTAGGCAGGCCAGGGTGACAGCCTGTGCCATTTCTCTGCGTGAGCTCCCTGCGCAAGCTCACCCCAAAGCAGGGGGTATTCAACAGGAGCAGCACCCCTGAACTAGCCATGCAACGGATGTCCAAGTCACTTCACACTGCGTTGCTCTCATCTCCATGATTACGGGCGTGGGGGTGGGGGAATGGTGCCTCAGCAACGTTGTCCACCTATTCTGACTTCCAGAAGCATCTTCCGAGGGAGTGCTGGGGTCAAAGACTTATGGAAACCTAAGCACTAGGCTATTGTAACAGGAAAATTAGTGGCGGCAACACTTATATTTACTTCCATTTTTTGGACTGGGTCAGACATCTGCTTTTCAGATCAAATTTTCTCATATGTCTTCTACGATTGACCATGTTGACCCTGGCACCAGACCACATTTTGCATTTTCTCTCGTTTATCTTTGGATTTTTTTCCTTTCTGGAAAGGGTATACCTAAAAGACTCAACGATTTGCATGAAAATGATTGTTCTTCCCTTTTGCAGCTGTCACCTGCCCTCCACCGCCCACACCTAAGTTTGCGGTGCTTGATGCTTATGAGCCACTGGCTGGAAACAGCTCCGTCTATGGGAAGCAGGCGGTCTTTAAATGCCTGCCGCCCTATGTCATGTTTGGAAACGACACCGTTACCTGCACGGCACATGGGAACTGGACCGAATTACCTGAATGCAGGGGTAAGTGCAATGATGAGAGAAAATGACTAGGATGATGAAATTCCCGTTTTTTGAGAACTCTTGAACATCCTGCGATCATTGAGTGTTTCAGATAACCTTGTCTGGCGTTGGTGCTCATGTGAGCGTAGCTGCCTTCCAAATGACCTTGTTCAACAAACGCTGGTTGGCCTCTGCCGTGTACCAGGCAGGGTGCTAGGTGTTTGGGTACCAGATGAACGAGACCTGGTTTCCGGCCTCAGGGGAATTATATATAATGCACTGAGCTGCCTGGGAAAGCCTTCCAGAGGAGGGGCTTGGAGGATGGGTGGGCGAGGGGGGGAAGGCGTGCCACAGAGCCCCCGGGTGGAAAGCCTGGAAGGCGTGAAGGAACAGGGTGTGTGCACAGACGGCTGGATACTGTGGTGAGGCTGCTGAAGAGAAGCCCGGGTTCGACTGGGGTGTCCCAGGAGAGGAAGGTAAAAAACTGGGTTGCAGTCAGATGATCAGCTCTTGCCTAAATTGAAAAATCACAAAAATATTAAATTTTAAAGAATTATGCAATTCTTCCTCCTTGAATTTGACCTAGCATCACTACCTTTAAATTTGTCAGTTGGATAACAAGTAGACAAATTGTAGAATTTCTCATGCACACAAGGAGTTATGCTAAGGACTGTTCGCTTCTCCTGTAGTAGGTATTTTAGATGTCTATTGAACGATCAAAACAGAAATGCTTTTTGCCCTGGCCAGTGTGGCTCAGTTGGTTGGATGTTGTCCTGTGTACCAAAAAGTTGCCAGTATTAGATCTCATCAAGACTCACACATTCTGTTTAGTAGTCATGTCTCTTTAGTCTCTGCTGTTGGTCACCTTAAGGGGGCCTGAGAGCAGCACCATGTTTTTCCTTCATATTTTGTGCCAGCGTCTTGTATAGTCTGAAGACAATCATGAGAATTAGAGTCAACATTTCAAAGCCAAATGATGGTGTGCTCAGAGGGAGTCTCTGTGTTTTAATTTCACGGTTTATTGATTAAAAGAGACAGACTCTTTTCCTTCTTTCAAACTCACCACCGTAGCCTGCATAGAGATGAATTCACAATAAACAATACCTTACGATTCTGTGAAAGCCCAAAGAACTTGGCAACTCATTTATATACTTTTCAAGTGGTTTTGTTTCTTTTTTTACTCCCCAGGTTCCCATGAGTATAAGATAAGGGGGGCAGAATTAGGCACTGAGGTACCTAGAAATTGCATCCCACAGGCGTGGGAACACCCAGTGACCAGCGGCATCAGGGGGTTAGACTGTAACTACGTGTCCGTGACTCCTGGACGGCATCCCTATTCATGCTGACATGTCTTATTGATAAACTTTTTAGAAGTGAAATGCCCATTCCCAGTAAGACCAGACAATGGGTTTGTGAACTACCCCGCAAAAACAGCACTCCATTACAAGGATAAGGCCACCTACGGTTGCCACGACACGTACGTCCTGGATGGCCCAGAAGAAGTAGAATGTAACCAATTTGGAAACTGGTCTGCGCAGCCAAGTTGCAAAGGTATGAAAACGGGCGAGGTCTTCAAATGCCTCTGAACTTACGTACAGTCTCGGACTCTTGTCTCGAGCAATGCATTTCAGGTGTGCTCACCTCCAGGTTCAAATGACAGTGTGGTGAAAGCCTGCAGGGGGTGGTGCCGGGTGGAGGGGATCACTCGGGGAAGGAAAGGGGACATCTGTGATGCTTCCAACAGAGATAAATTGAAACATGAAAAAGAGAAAGACTAACAGAACTCCCAAGTCTTAACTACAAACATTGTCTCTTTCAGCATCTTGTACAATATCTGTGAAAAAAGCCACTGTGATATTCGAAGGAGAGAGAGTGAAGATCCAGGAGAAATTTAAGAATGGAATGCTACATGGTCAGAAAGTTTCTTTCTTCTGCAAAAATAAAGAAAAGAAATGTAGCTACACAGAGGATGCTCAGTGCCTAGACGGCACCTTTGAAATCCCCACGTGCTTCAAGGGTGAGTCGAACACTGGAACTTTCTGTTGGGACTTCCATCTGCCCCTCACCGTGACCACTACTTTTATTGCATAATGACCGTAAGAAGCCATGTCACTGGGCTTTTAAAAACAGATGGGGGCCAAGGAGGAGTGAGATGAGACAGGGAGTTCCACCCAGCTTCTTTACTCGCATAAACATTTTCTTTCCAATTCTTTTCCTTAATACTCAGGGTTGTGGTTTTATTTGATGAATATTGAGGTGAATTATGCCATCTTGTTTGATTCCAAATTAAGCTTGAATAGTTAATAATAATAATAATAATAATATATGGAATATTTGCCACCTCTTGGTCCCAAATTATAAAGAACTCATCCAAATTACAAAGTAATTCATGGCAATAGTGATTGGTTTATGGACCTTCTAACATTTTTTTCCTTCCTTCCTTTAGCAATTCCTAAAGTTTTTGAACAGGACCCCCTAGAGCATAGTATTCATCAGAGCAAAATATTTTAAAAAGATAATTATGTCTGTGTGAGATAAAACGTTCATAATAACCAGCATTTAGAGCTGCCAGCTGTGTAAGGTTTCAGGTTTAGGGTTTAAACATCTTTGTTGTACGAAGGAAGGACCAGCAGAGGCTGAAGCCGTGGTTGGCTGTTGGTCTAGAAATGGTCCGAGGATGTTGACAGCCCTGTAGGACCAGGCTGGAGGGAGCAGAGTTGGGGGCAGACCTACAGAAGACAGGAGGGGCCAGCTAGAGAGACAGAGGGAATGATACTAGTAGGTAACACCCACCTCATCAGTTTGATGATCATAAAAATATGCATGCTACTGAGTGCTGCAGTGCTCAACCAATGACAGTTCTTATAGTTACAAAGGGTTAGAAGTGCACAGAATAAACTGTTTTTAAAAAACATTTTTATTGATTTTAGAGAGAGAGGAAGGGAGAGGGAGAGAGAGAGAAACATCAGTCAGCGGCCTCCTGCGTGCCCCCTCCTGGGGATCAAGCCCACAACCTGGGCATGTGCCCTGACCAGGAATCGAACCTGCGACCTCTGGTTGCATGGGATGATACCCAACCAACTAAGCCACAAGGGCCAGGGCAAATTGTTATTCTTCAAAATAGAGTAGAGCCCTGGCGAGATGTTAAATACCAAGGCTGACAAAGCACCATAGGCCTAGTACGAATCAGTAAAACAATATTAGAAGGGGGTGATTAAAAAACCAACAAGCAAACAGAGCTTTGTCGACATATCCTTCAGGCCATTCTCCCTCCCAGTCTTGAGAGAGATGCCGAGCGGTTAGTGCATTTGCGAATAGATAAAGGGCTGATTCCTTTTTTTTTTTTTTTTTAATTTTAATCTTGATTCTCAGAGTTATATAGAACCTTTTATTTCCTCTCCTGGAAATGTGTGCAGTATCATTTCCTGGGTGCTTTCTCGTATCACGTAAACCTCGCTCTAAATGGTTTTGTTCATATAATTCAAGTTATTTTGCACATTTGTAAAATGTACTTAATTTGTCTTAGCCATTTAACAAATTTAAGAAATGATTGTTTCTCATAGAATGTTTATCTCTTTCTGCCCAAACAGAACACAGCTCTTTGGCCTTCTGGAAAACTGATGCGTGGGACATGAAGCCATGCTAAACTGGTTTTCAGATTCAAAATTCAATGTCACGTCCATGTTTGTCCAAGAAACCTAATGGAAGTAGGAAAATTAAAGTGACTGAATTTATGGCCTTAGCCATTGCTTCGTTACTTCTTATGGGCTTCGTTTTAGTCGTGTTACCTGGTTCAGAACCCCAATATTTGGAGCATCATTTCAAGGCTATCACATGGAAAGTGTAACAATTATGTGGGTAACCCGGTTCCCCTTTCCCTAAATCTATTCTCAAATGCTTTCACCTAAAACAATTACAATTCAGTATTTCTCAGAGAATGATCCACAGGCCCCCACATTGGTATACCCTGGTACTTATTACAAAATAAAAAATGCTGTGTCCCAGAATTTGTGGGGAAGTTCCCAAAACCTGCATTGATGACACAGTCCCCGTATGACTCTTGTGTACTCCAGTTTGAGAAGCATGGCCATGGAGGGACAAACATAGACTCCCAGGTCAGGAGAGCTGGATTTGACCCCTTGGAGTATGGTTTACAAAATGCCTGAAAAAATCTTTCCTTAGCCACTAAAATTCCGTGCTCCATCATGAGGGTGCTCCTTTGTTCATGTTCGGTTCCCTCACCCCTTTCTCCTTCTGTGGCACATGGTGGCAAAGCCTACCCCAGGCGCTAGCTGCCTCCCTCTGCTGTGCCAGAGCAGCTGAATGTTGCTGGGAAAAAGGGAAAACTCACAATCAGGCCAATAGGCACCACTTTCAGTTCATCAACACAAACATTGCATAAGCCCTCGGCTCTGCCCAGAAATCCCACCGTATTTCTTTAGGTTGCTCACTCCCCTGCACCCCAAGGTGGCTTTTCTCTTCTCAGCCCTCCTCAAGCCACCTTCTGTCTCCTCACCCTCAGCTCCTTCGGGTAAATTCTAAGGAGCATGATTGCTGGGTCATACAGTAAGAGTAGGTTTGTTTGTTTATTGAGATATAATTGACATATGGCAGTGCATTAGTTTCAGGGGCACAACATAATGATTTGACATATGCATATATTGTGAAATGGTTGCCACAATAAGTTTAGTTAACATCTATCATCTCCTATAGTTACACTTCTTTTTTCTTGTGATGAGAACTTTTAAGATCTACTCTCTTGCCCCCTCTCCCCCGCCAGCCTATTCCATAAAGAAGCTCCTGGAATACGGCAAGTCTGTTGAAGATAGCTTTTTGTACCATTTTTGTTCAATGGAAGGCATTTCAGGCTGCTGGATAGACTTGGGTCTCTGAAACAATAATCAGAGTAGACCTTGGAGCTTAGGCCACAGTACTGATTCCTCTAATTTAACAAGATTTTCACAGAAAGAAAAATCTGCTATTTTTGCCATCTGAAGAGGCAATTTGGGTTAGAGGAGCCAACCCATCAGTAGAAACTACCTATTTGCAGCCTCTCTACTTAGTGATTATGTGGCCCATTTAGCCCCATAATAAAACCTCATTTCCAAATCTTTTTTTCTTAAATGCTCAGATCACCAGGTTGCCCGTTATCAAAGTTCACCCATACCCTCCCTAGCCACAGCCTGTGGTGATCTCTGGGCTGGCTGATAGTCTAAGAAGCATTACCTCCCCCACCCCCTTC